TTTTTTAATAAAAATTGTTTTAAAATTTCAATTAGAAAAAATTAAACAAAAATAAATTTTTTTATGAAAAGAATAAACTTTTTTTTGTGGTTAGCGATTTCGAGAAATAAATTTCAACTGTCACGCATGTTTTGTTTCGTTCCCCTTCAAATATCCCCACTGTAAGGGAAAGTACAGACGAAACCCCGAATTTGTCTACGAGGTGTGACAATTAAGTAATGAGACTGATTCCATAAAAATTCAAAATTTAAAATTATTCTACAATTCCGCCATCCTCTTCGAAGTAGTGAGTCCGATTCTAGCGCGTTTTCCATGCTTCGTAACATTTCTGGAACGCTACGACTGCGATGTCCGCGAGTACCCTCGTTCGGCCGCCTGGATGTCCTCAATAGACTCAAATTGGGTTGCTTTGATCACCGATTTTGTTTTAGGGAACAAAAAAAAATCACAGGGTGACATATCGGGCTAAAAAGATGGTTGTTGCAACACGGCGAACCCTCTAAAGGCCAAATACAGGGACACGCTGAGGGCGGTACTTGGCGATAGTAGAATTAATTTACCGTTTTGCCCCGGTGGAAGAAATGCTTTGTGTATAATCATCTCTTTCCACGCTTTCATGCCCCTCATTAAACTCTTTATGCCATCGAAACACCTGGACACGACTAAGAGCACTATCACCAAACACTTTTACAATTTTAACGTGCGTTTCGGAAGCTGTTTCGTATAATTTGGCACGAAATTGTATCCCTACGCGTTGCTCTTGATTTTGTTTTTCCGTTTTCGGGACGAGCACCACGAACACACGTTTACTCAACACCACACAGCAGGCGACCTAAACAAGCCAAAGCAATGGCAAATATATCAATGGAGAGGAGAAGGATGCCGGGAGAAGGTCGCAGGGTTACCACAATCGCGGCAATATAATCAGTTTCATTACTTAAATGTCACACCTCGTATTTCTCGATGTTCTCAAGAGTTGGGACTTCTCTTACGCAACATTGTGGCGTATTTTGCTTTTGTACTTACACCTACATTCATATAAAGTCCAACTTACACAACAACTGAAACCAGTTGACCATTCACTACACCGTACCTACGTCGAATAGTTGCAGGAACAACCATTAATGGACGGCAAATTTTCGAATAAAATTTTCTTTAGCGACTAGGCGCATTTCTCACTCGAGAGATACACGTATGTGCGTAACTAAGTGAAATTCTCGCATTCAAAGAATTGAAGAGAGTCCACTACACCCAAAAAAAACTTACTGTCTGGCGCACTCTTTGGTCTGGATGTGTGATTGGATCTTAGAATGTCTTATCAGAGCACTAAGTAGCTGCTTATATTATATGCACAGATACATGCATACATACATAGCCTGTGCGTTGAAATTCTTCTACAAATATTCACTTTTATCTGTATGTATGTATGTATGTATTCATTTAATTCCTCCTTGGTTGCCAATTAAAAATTTCCCTGATTTGCAGGCACGGTCATTGTCAACGCTGCCAAACAAACATACTCGTATATATGTGTGTATGTAGTGTCTATGTAAGTGTACATAAAACAAATGCAACGGTCAAAGGCCGCATTTCACTATAGACGTACGGATGAAGAGTACGTATACATATGCGTAGGTGGCAACTGTAGTTTAAATGAACAAAGGAAGCAAAGGTGAAATGCATACAACAAAGCTTGGAGTGCAGCAACCGAGGAAAAATTAAATCATGACAAAAAGAAGCAATTATACATAATTACATTTCCGCTGATTTTAGAGAATGGATTAATAAGTTGTATGCATTTTTAGAATGTGGAATATACATACATACATACATACATACTCGTATGCGCAAAATTGAATAAATACATATACGTATGTATGTACATACATATGTATATTCTAGAAGTTACTTGACTCTCACAGCCTGCCAGCGAGGCAAAGTAGAAGGTCAGTAGAAATAAACCTGAAAATATTTTTAATATATAAACATTAAACGTTAAAAGAAACAAATAAAATATATGTACCATTACTTCTAACGCATTTTATTTGGACTTTTGAAAATTCTTAAATCCACAAGCTTGCAACTTTACACTAACATTTGTTATCTGTATTGTGTATGAAACATATTTTTGGACAGAGAAGTTATAAACTAACTCAGATTTCTTCGAGAAATCTCAAAAGTTACTTGTACATGTATGTATGTATAACTTAAATATAAGTGCTCTTTTTTTTTTCTTTAAATAACTAACTTAATAAGATTGTTTGTAGAAATATGATTTCTTAAAAAACTGTATTACACTTTTTTTTGTATGAAAAAATAGTTTACGAGAGCCATACTATTTTGTATTGCTTTTTTATGTTGTTTTATTTTACTCTTTTTTTTTTGTAATTTTGGTTCGTTTTATTTTATTTTCATTCTATTTTATTTGAAATTTATTTACTGATTTAAATCAGTTTTAATTAGAATTTTTTTTGTTATATTTAAATTTCTATTTTAAATTTAAATTTATTTTCTTTATTTCAATTTATTTATTTATTTTTCTTCATTTAATTTATATTTTATTTTAATTTAAGCCAATTAATTACAATTAATACATTTTTTTATTTTGTCTGACTTCATTTTATTTTATTTTGTTACATTTCACTTTTCATTTACTTTTTTTATTTATTTACTTGGTTTGATTTAATTTATTTTTTTTTATTTGACTTGATTTTATTTTATTTTATTTTTTTTTTGTAATTTTTTAATTTTATTTTATTTTTTATTCATTCTATTTTGCTTCAGATTTGTTTAATGATTTAAATCGGTATTAAATTATTTTTTTTTTATGTAATTCAAATTATTTTTATTTTTACTTTATCAAATTTATTTTCTTTATGTCAATTTATTTATTTATTTTTCTTCATTTAATTTATATTTTATTTTATTTTAGGCAAGTTAATTTTAATTAATTTTTTTATCTTGTTTTAATTTATTTTAGTTTATTCTATTTTATTTTTTTTTTTTTGTAGTTTCTTACATTTTATTTTATTTTATTTCTTTCATTCTATTCTATTGTATATGAGATTTGATTTGATTTGATTTGATTGAATTAAATCGGCTTTAATTTATTTTTTTAATTTTTATTTAAGTAATTTTTATTTTTTCTCTATCAAGTTTATATTTTATATTTTAATTCATTTATGTTATCCTATTTGACTTCAGTTTATTTATATTTTATTTTATTTTACGTTAATTAATTTGAATTAATTTAATTTTTTTTATCTTATTTTAATTTTTTTAGCTGAATTTTATTTTATTTTGTTTTAGTCCAATATTTTATTTTATTTTATACTGTTTTATTTGGTTTGATTTTATTTTCATCTCTTTTATTTTATTTTTATTTATTTCATTCTATTTTACATGAGATTTAATTGATTGATTTTAATCAGATTTATTTTAATTTTTTTATTTCTTTCACTTTATCTAAAATATTTTCTTTATTTCAATTCATTTATAGTATTTTATTTTAACTCATTTTGATTATTCGCTTATAATTTATTTTATTTTAAGCTTGTTTAATTCAATTTCTTTTATTTTATTTTATTTTATTTTATTTTATTTTATTTTATTTTATTTTATTTTGTTTTATTTTCTTTATTTGTTTTTATTTTCTTTAATTAATTTAATTTTTATTTTACTTTTTTTTAAATTAAATTTAATTATTTTTAATTGTTTTGTGTTATTTTACTTTAATTTTAAATTTATTTCGTTATTAGTTTGTATAATTCAAATATAGTTTATTTTAACTCAAGTTATTGTTTTTAATTAACTTTTGATTTACAGTAATTAATTTGATTTTATTTCATTTAATGTTAAATTAATTTATTTTATTTTATTTTATATAAATTGTTTAATTTTATAGGTGTACAACTTTGCTTCCGCCGTTTTCCGATAGGTGGCTGTACGGGCTGAGGCTGGTTGAAATACATAGATAATAAAGCCTTCAAAGTGAGTGTGGACAGTGCCTAACGAATTGTCATCGCCGTTTCAGTGACAGTTGTTCTTGTTTTCGTATTATTCACGCTCGAAAATGTCCGTTTATGTGCCTAATTCTCGCCATTTACTGGAAGTTTTACTTTTCTGTTACATTTCGTAAAAAATGCAGCTGAAGCGCATCGAATGCTCTCAGAAACTTACGATGATGCTGCTCTGAGTGAAAGAACGTGTCGGGAGTGGATTCAACGAATATTCACGGTGCCAAGGTTATGACTTGTATTTGGTGGTATCAGCTCGGTGTGATTTACTACGAGCTCTTAAAACCGGGTGAAACCATCACAGTAGATCGCTACCGAACGCAACTGATGCGCCTTAGTCGCGCGCTAGAAGAAAAGCGGCCACAATATCAAGAGTGACATGACAAAGTCTTCCTCCAACACGACAATGCTCGGCCTCACGTCGCAAATGTGGTCAAAAAGTACCTGGAAACGCTGAAATGGGAAGTCTTGCCCTACCCGCCGTATACCCCAGATGCCGCCCCTTCTGACTTTCACCTATTCCGTTCGATGACACGCGGCCTGGCAGATCAACATTTTCAATCCTTCGAAGAATTGGAAAAATGGATTGCTTCTTGGATAGCGTCAAAAGAGGACTCCGTTTTTCGGGCCGGGATTCGAAAATTGCCGGAAAGATGGGAGAAAGTTGTCTCTAGCGAAGGACAATACTTTGAATAATATATCTGTAAGCACTTTTTCGCAATAAATCTTTTAATTTTGGAAAAAACGGCGGAACAAAGTTGTATTTTACTTTATTTAAATTCATCAAATTTTAATATTTTGAAATTTAGTTCCTTACCTTTTTATTTTATTTTATTTTAATGGATCCTGCTTTATCCTTTCAGGCTTTATTTTATTTTAATTCAATTAATTTAACTTCTTTATTATTTATATTTATTTAATTTCACTTTATTACTATTATTATTTTGATTAATTTAATTTTATTTTATAAAAAATTATTATTGTTATAGTTTATATTATTAATTATTTATTATAGTTTTTATTTTTTAATTAAATTTGTTATTCAATGGAAACCGTCTGACTTTAATTGTTTTGCGAGAGTTTAATTTTTGCCAAAATCTGCATTATTTTTAAATGTATGTGTTACGGTAGGGTTCTGCAGTGTATAAGTTAGCTTTTATTTGTTTAATTTTTGTGGTAATTGCTTTGTGCGAATTTTGTTGAAAAACGTTATCGAAAAGAGTTATTTCTGAATAAGTATAAGAAAATGAATGGAAATATCTTTGTTATATAAAACTACAATATTTATAAACTAAACCTCTAACAAATTCAACTATTTGCAAAATCGTTCAGACTAAAAATAATATTTTTTTATTTATAAAATTTATATTAGGAGCAAAATTATTTTTCTAACTTAAAATAAATTTAAAAATCCATAATACATAAATTATTAGAATAGAATATGAAATAAAATTTATTTCTTTTAGATTAAAAAAAAAAGCTTTTGATATAAGACCAATTCTTTCCACAAGCTCAACTTGACGGCCACTTCTGCGTATTTCATTTCATCAGTTTCGTGAGCATCGCAGCAATCGGCAGAAATACCAAGGCGATGAAGGGTGAGAATGCCGCAGCGCCATTGCAACCGTCGGTATTGCAAGTTTGACAGAAAACTGTTTTGATGTAAGATGAGGTAGTCTCGTGACCACAACGGTCGGAGGAGTCGTCGTAGTCTTCATAAAAGCAAGATCGGGAAATAACACGTTTGCCATAAACTGCAATAAATCGAAAATTTTAACATTTAATTAGTTAAATATTCGTACTAAAGCGATACAAAAATGTATACGAAATTGGTGCCTGTTGCTAAATAAAAAAAAAATATCAAAATCTAGGGCTAGAGGCCAGGAGTCCACAATTCCACAAATTCCCAATTCAAATCTTAAAACAAAAAAAAAATTAATAAACAAATAAATAAAATCATTGTCTCACCAATACTCGTGACAAACTTCAAATTGACAACTAGCAAAGTTGCTGCAATACCCGAACATTTATGACTATTTTTAAGTGGAAAACAAATGGGTTGAAAAAATTAGCTAATAACCATAAAAAGTAAGTTGCTCCTACCAAAATGGACGAAACTGTTAAAGCAACTCCATAATGGTGAACAGCAACAACAACCGGTAAAGTGATTGCGATGCGTTTGAGTATTTTTCTAACCACTCATTGCCACTGTGACTACTTCAGAAAATTACAAAAACATGTTGATTGTAAAGAGACTAATGAAAATATGTAGGAAAAAACTAATTTCGCATGGAAACGAATATCAGATAAACGAATTTTTCGGTTATATGAAAAAATGTTGATTTTTTAAGTATCAAAACCGAAAGATCCCTGATGCGAAGACAGTTATAGGAGAGGCGGGCGACTTTTTCGAGGCCTGAGGAAGTTAGAGTGACACATCATCTCGTTACTAATAATAATAATTACTGGAGTTATTATTAATATAAATAACAGAATTTTTTTTTTATTAAGTTCGTTAACAATTCCCACAATTTAGAGCACAGCGCTGTGATTAAATTCCTTGTAAAAAAGAAATTTTAAAGAGATATCATCGGCTCTTCAGAGTTTTACACCTTTATATATGATGGTGAAAAAATGGGCTTGACTGTGAAGATGCCTTTCGTGACCGAAGAAAATGTTCAGAAAGTCGAAAAATTAGTACTGGCTGTTTAAAGAATCGAATTGTGGCAGATAGAAGAAGAATTACAGATTTGCAAAAAATGAATGAACTGGAGAGGTTTTTAATGAATATTTGAATTTGAAAAAAATTAGAGCGCATTGAGTACCGCGAATGCTCACGCCGCTTTTTTCGGAGTTGAGTCGGATGAAACTTGGATTCGTGAATATGATCTCGAGCCCAAACGGCCGTTGATGCAGTGGATAAAAAAGGGGAGAGGCCACCAAAAAATTCAAAGTGGAAAAGTCGGTGTAGAAGATTTTGGCAACCACTTTCTAGGGTTGCCAAGGAATATTATTAATTGATTATTTGCCATGGCAGTCAGGCGCGTGAGGCATTTGTACAGAAAAAATGTGACGACTTAGCGCGCGTAGTGCTGTTTTTTTGAAGACAGCGCTCAAACCGCTCGGGTTGCCTTAACAGCTGCTGGATTTACAGAAATTGACTATCCTCCCTTCCGGCAGCACCACAATTGTTTTTTTTTATATGAAATAGAATAAAATGGTTTCAAAGCTCTTTTTGCTTTGTGCATTAAGAGAGGCAAGTTTGCGTTTGTAATGAGAAATTATTTTAATTTTAACATATACATATACTATACAGTTGAATTATCGATAAATTCACCCTGTAAACACCGTCTTTTCTGAGCATCTGCACAGTTGTATTATAAACCTGAACGTACAATGTTTGAATTCTCAATCGATATCGCAAATATATTCGCATTAATAATAGAAAGATATATTCGCCTTCGTAAGTCTTATTCGCATTCGTATTCGTATTTGTATTGGTATTCATGTAGGTTGTTCGCGTTCAAATTATTATTTGAATTCCCAATTTGTATTTTATTCGTAATCGTATTCGTATTTGTATTCTTTTCGTAATCATATTCGTATGAGTTTTCCCAATCGTAATTTTATTCGTATTTGTAATCGAATTCGCATTCACATTCGTATTCACGTTCGTATTCGTATTTGAATTCTTAATCCCTATCGTATTTGTATTGGTGTTACTGTTACTATTCGAAAAGGTATTTTTATCGGTAATCGTATTCGTGTTCGTAATCATTTTCGAATTGGTATTCGTATTTTTATTCGAAATAGTATTCGTATTTGGACTTCGATTTGGAAAGCTGTTCGTAACGGTATTCGTATTCGTGTTCGTAATCATTTTCGAATTGGTATTCGTATTCGTAGTCATTTTCGAATTGGTATTCGTATTCGTATTCGGAGTCATTTTCGAATTGGTATTCGTATTCGTATTCGTAGTCATTTTCGAATTAGTATTCGTATTCGTATTCGGAGTCATTTTTGAATTGGTATTCGTATTCGTATTCGTAGTCATTTTCGAATTGGTATTCGTATTCGTATTCGTTCTAGATTATAAAAATGCTGACATAACGACGATAGTTTTAGAGACTATAGATAAACTTTATTGTCTACAGCAACAACAAAATAAAAAATGCTAATCATTTCAGTATAAATAAATAAATAAATTGCAATGAAAAAATACTGAAATATTTAAAAAGCCACAAAAAAAACTTTGACATTTTAAGGAAGAACTTCGACTGTCATCTGGCGCTGAGCTGAGATTTTTGTGTTGCAAGCAAAATGGACATTTATGCCCATAAAATATAATTGCCATTTTATTTACGCTGCCAATTACCAATTACCAGTTCAAACAACAATAACAAAAGCAAATAAAATTATGCGCTTAGCAAAGCAGAGAAAAAAAAAATCTTTAATAAATCTATTTAATTTCATTTGATTGGCTGCTCAATCATCATGTATGTCAATTATTATTATTCACTTTGCCGTTGGCTGATGTTTTTTCTCTAATAATCAGGTGTCAATTGAAATTGTAATTGCACCTTATTCTCTCGTGATTATTGCACTCATTACATGCCTAACAAATTAATTACATTTCTATGCGGCCCCTTTTGGTAAATGAATTTCAAAGTTACGACTTAATTTATTTGTCTCTTTCACTACGCTGAGGAGGAGAGTAGAAGAGAAATATTATGAAAATTCAACGCTTGCACTTGCGGTTCAACTTTTCAACACTCAAAATATACTTTAATAAAAACAAAGGTGAAAAATCGCATGCGATCCAAAAAATATATTTTTATAAAGAGTATATTATGATCTTCGGCTAATATAGCACATTTAAACAATTATTTTTGATTTAAATTTATTACAATTATATTTTTTGTACTGTTATCAATGAAATAACAAGCAAAAATTTTAAAAGTTGTTATGTAAAATATTTATGAGAACTTGATAGCCAAAAAATTGATTGAACTTTCAAATTTCCATATACATACATACATACATACATACATACATACATACATACATACATACATACATACATAGATACATACTTATGTTAATATTACACCCAAAGTAATTTTTCGTAAAAAGTACGTACAGTCGTGATTTTAAATTTTCGATGCGACACACCTCTACTATTGCATTGGTAGAGCTGTTAAAATTCACCTATTACGTGTGTGTGATGTGTCTATCAGCGACAAGAGTACCCAACCCATTGGCCATAAAGGATTTTATCACTGCACCCATCGATTGCCGATACGGCAAGTACGTACAAAAAAAAGGTGCACAATAAAGTAGTATTGATAATCAATATACATATGTTGTGTGTATGTTGCTGAATCTTACTCATTACTCTACACGAGTGCAAGGGCGAGATATCCTGGGCGTATGAGTCACTTCAAAATTGAATTATACAAAATTAAACAAAAAAATAATGATAAAAATAATGTAAAATAAAAAAATAAACGTGAAAAAATTACAAAATGTAAAATAACATATATCAATATAAATAAAATAAAATACTTAAATTAAGATAAAAAAAAATTAAAATATATTAAATGGAATAAACTAAAATAATGTAAATTAAAAAAAATAATTCAAGCTGGAATGAATATAAAATTTAATTACTAGAAGAATTAAAATAAAATTAAATTTATTCAAATTTAAATTAAATGAAATAGAAACAAATAGAATGAAGCCTAAAAAAAAATTAAAATACTTTATTCGAAATAAAATTTTAAATAATTTAAAAAATGTAAGACCGACTGATTAGTCCACAGCCGAGGCTACTGATAGTAGATATCTGAAACTAGGCGGCTGTGTTCTGCGTATGACGTATGCATCCGATAAGAAAAGATTTTCCGTGATCTATTCGTGAAATCGAGTTTATTTATAAATCGTTTAATATAACTCTTTGCCTAAATTGAAGCGTTTTCAATCTGGAAAGTGCATCTGGAAACGATCTATTTTGTATCCATCGTTTGATTTAAATAAAAGCTTTAGGTCCGCAATGCCATGGAGAAAGACCTTTTCTTTCGTTAAGTGGGTTTGAGACTGATCTATTCGAAAAAATCGAAATTGCTTTTAAATCGTTTGATTAACATGAAAGTCGGTACGCCAAGGTCTAGTGTGGAGATATTTTTGAAAAATTCATAATCACTGCTCGGTTTTCCTGATATCTGAAGCAAGCATACATTCATATGCAGAAAACTTTAAGTTCTGTTTCAAGTTTTTCAACATAAAATACTAGTAAAAATCTTATTTGGAAAATCTTAGTTTGCTACGCGGGTTAAGGCGCGGGCAACCTCTAGTGTAATATAAAAAAAAAAAAAAAAAAATTAAAGTCAGGTAAAAATAAATAAAAAATATTATATAATATAATGAAAAATTAAATCAGTTATTAAAAAAATAAGATTAATAAGTTCTTAAAAAAATAAAAAAATAGAATAAAATAATTTATGTAAATAAAAGCAATTAAAAATAAAGAAATAAATTAAAATAAATAATAGAATATCAAATTAATAAAGCAAACCACGATAAAATAAAAAAAAATTAAATTAAATTAAAATAAGAAATTAAATTATATAAATAACGGTTTATCCAATTAGCGGTACTGTTTTTGACAGATCACGCATGCGCCGTGCCAAGCTGTCATGTTACACTTGTTCAGTATTGTTTGTCATTTTATCATGGAAAGACTTACGACTAAACA